GTGCCGAGGAAAAGCCTGATCGATCGCGGCCGCCGATTCTGCGTCGCTGAAGGATATACTCCACGGATGGAACGTGACTAAACTACTTAGTCGTTACTTGGCCGCGACGATATCATTATCGTAAATGCCGAGCAGCTAAGACAAATCGCGGCGCGGCTTTTAGCATTAATTAGCAGCAAATTATGGTTCGCCTTGCTAATACAAACGACGCCGACGTGCCATCCCTGTCGAGATAAATCTCTGCGTCTGTACTACGTATGAAGACGTTTACGATGTTCGCCAGAATTTTTCCCGGGAAATTATGATTCCGGTACCGTTTGCACGTACCGGTTAATGAATGCACCGGTGATTTGTAACGGATGAAATTGTGGTTTGCCTGACGACCGTGACGAAAGTGAATCGTTGCGAGATCAAAGATGGATACGCGATCGCGCTTCATTCCTACCTTTAACGCGCCAAGGAAATATCTCGGAACGTTTATTTACTACGTAAATAGGGATACTCGGGAGGTATCTTCCTTTGTGTTGGGTTTTAACACTCTATGATGGCTGCTGATATTTATCACTTTTTACTATACCTATCTTTTATCTGCTCTATGTATGAAAACTTGAAATTATCAAACATAATTTTACAATTTTCTACTGCAAGTAACAAATTAACATAAAATTTCCCTCTATCCCATAAAATACCTCGGTGAAATAAAAATGGCATCTTGACACGCCAGTGGACACAAGGTACAGAGGATAATCAGCGTCGACTCTTTTTCTCGTCAGACAGCATTACCTGAAATAAGCAGGTACGAGAGATCGTTCCCTATGCCAGTTTTCTGATCGTTTCGAAATGTGCGTGGCGCTGCGCGATGTACCGAGAAAATATCCCTTTTTGTCGATGGTTCGTTTCGCGAGGAAGGGAATCGAGCGTCGACGAGTTTACAGGTCGACGGTGTAGGTGGATAAGAAAGAAGCAAAAGCCCTGGTATTTCCGCGAATCAACGGGAAAATGGGACTCTCGACGGATCCCCGGTCTACCGTAGAGACGTCAAAATTACTTCGCACCGTTCCCTTCTATAACATTTTTCCCACCTCTGTCCCTTTCTACCGAACGTTTCTTTCGTTCCAACGATTGCACATTCATTTCGCCAGCTGCACCGTCGAAAGAGATAGACGATGGCTGGCGTTTCCTCCGCGAAATTGTCGAAGGTAATCGAACTGTTCTTGAAATCACCTGGAAACTAACGGGGCGGTAGAAACAAAGGAAATTACGCACGGTATCGTCCCACCGAGTCCTGGTATGCGCTACCTTTGCTGTGGCTCTCTTATCCAGCCCTCTTTATTCAACTGTACCCAGCCGAAGCTACGGGGCGAGCAATAATGCGAGAGACCGCGAGAGAAATCCTCACGAGAGCATTTCTGTTCTGTTCCCTTCTGTTCTCTTCTGTTCTTCGTTAGTGATGGGACGAGAACGTTGCCGGTGCGAAAGGGGGGAAAAGAGGGCCGGTCTTCGTAGTCGATCTCAACATCTACCTCGCCGGAAAAGGAAACGTCCTGCATCGCGAGGACTGCTCTTTACACGAGGATCTAGCGTGGGTACTTCGGCTCGGATGCCTTCCCGGCTATTCCCGCGCGATTTTAAATAACACTTTTACAACTCCTCCACGACGATGCTCGATGAAATTACGAGCTACGTTTGTCCACCACTCTTTCCCATCCGTAGTCTGTTTGTGTTAATTAATCCTTGGGAAAGGTGAGTACTTTGGAATTGGGGGTCGAAGGTGGATGCAAGTTTTTATGGGTTTCGAAGATTTTGTTAAAAATCAAAATTAAAAATTATATCGCCATTTTCCCATAAATTTCTAACTATTTTTCTTTAAAACAAAACTCTGTTAATACAGAAATAAATAAAAATTTTCTACCATCAATTCAATATATTTCACCATCATTAACACCCAGCTGCAAAGTCAACGCCCTCGTACAGGAAGGCACGGTAGCAAGCTCTCCGAGGATCTCAATTTACTTCCTGGCAAGGAACATCGTACGGTGTTTCTTGTCACAATTTAAAAGGCACTCGATACAATTCAACGCCTACATAGGTAGCAATCAATTGGAGAGGAATCATCATTAGCCTAACCGGCGTGGGGTAAACCTGTGGTATCGCATTATGAACTGTTACAAGGTACACGGACAGGAACATATGATACGAAACTTCCTCGATCGCAACGATAAATGTTCGATAAAGCTGACCACGTGGTTCAAGCAAAGGGGAAGGGAAAACAGAGGAAGAGAGAGAGAGAGAGAGAGAGAGAGGAAAGAAGAGGTAGGTTGCACATGGATGTTCGGTTGCGGTGTGCCTGCCTATGGATCTTGCTGTGCTGCTGCGGCTCCGTACGTAGCCCGAGCACCTACCTAACGTGGCCGTTGTGTGGCTAATGCTCGTTATCTCGACGTGTCGACTATCTAATGGTCCCCTGTAATGGCCGGTCCAGCAATATATTGTCCATTTCTCGCAATGCTCGCGCTAACTCGTCCTCCCAATCTATGGCATTATTCCCGACGGTTATTTTAGCTCATTCAGTCCTCTCTCTATCGCTATCCTCCTCCCTCTTAGCTGTACACGAACGGTACGGTGCTTGCTGCACCCTTTGCTCTACCAGGTGTCCTTGATTCGCCTGGTAGCCCGGCAAAGCTCGGACGATTTGCATAGGGAAATCGCGGGACCTCTTTGACGTTGTTGCACATCGCATCGTATCGCGCGGCATGCAATGCATGCGGTTAGCTCACGACTTCCGCCTGCTACCAGCGAGCAGGAAAGAAGCCGAGGGGAACGATAGCGGCCGTTGAGACAATGCGAAATAAATATTGGGCTATCGAGCCGGCTGAAAAGCTAGCAACGCGAGGTCGTCGCATGGGCGTGACGCACGAGGCCAGACATTCCAGATTTTCCAGGACGATAGTCCAGATTCCTGCTGCTCGATTCGCTCGGGTCGTTAGTCTAAATGGAGCGACGACGTTACTGGGAAAAGAGGGATCACGTTGGAGAAAAATGCCTGATGGTATTCTAGCTACGTTCGCTAAATGGAATCTACCGGTTTTCTTGCAGAGCATGGGGGCTTCTTAATATCTGGGATTACAGGCTGTACGTTACAGGGAATTATTAGGTTCGCTGTGTAAGTTATATCTTACCACTTTGTTGCTACGAGCAATTTAGGTATTAGAAGCGTGAAATAATTTATTATAAATAAATTTTGAAAAATAATTTGCAATTTTGTGATGTTAATTTAAAATCCATTCGCTACCCTTCGCCATTAATCAAAAATATAATAAATTTTGTATTTTTTTTTTTTTTAATATAAAGAGACGTAACAATTTCCTCATAGATGGCAAGCTGTGATAAATAATGACAGATAATAGATAGTCGGATCTAAGTATAAGTTATTTTGAAAAATTAAATTTATAGACCTTCCCTCAGTATTTATAAAAACCTTTCCTACTATGATCACCGTGATTTTCGTAATTATCACCCGTAGGATCCAGAAGATTGCATAATAGTCACGTAGGGAGAGCTCGTCTAAGTGCAGTGTCAAAAGTGTCGTCTTTGATGTCCAGGAAATGATGATAAAGCGGTTGCAGCAGGTTTGATATATACTTTTTCGAAAGTTACAGAGAGGCGAACCGTCTCTTCAGCTTTATTCACCCTGATGTCTATACACGTGGGAGCAGTTTACGAAACTTCACCCCGCTATCCGGCCATTGTCTTCTGGTTTGTATGCAGAAGTCACGAAATTTTCGGAATATCTTCGATAATGAGCGCCCTGTGAATACGTAATTTCCGTATTCCCTCGGCTTTGTAGAAGGAATACGCTTGGTCGCTCCGCTCCAATGTCCCTCGGGGGAAAAATTTTCGTCGACCGTTGCCTTCGCCGACAACTTTCACACCTAACGCGCTTCAACCGGAAACCAACTAAAATCGAGGGATTTTTCTTTCTCATGGAGATTGCTCTGTCTGTCGTGTCTGTTTCCATCGTTAAGCGTTTCATTCAAATATTCGAGTATAATTTATGGTTTTCTGTTGCTTTTCAAATTATTTTACATTTGGAATTATTATATAAAAATTGAGGAAGCATTGAAAAATGATTTTTTAATTTAAAAAATTATCTAACATTGCAATCCCGAGTTTGAAGCTTTGTCATCAATTTAATTTTCCAAATTTTAAATTGCATAATAAAACCAACAATATTTCATTTCAACCCGTTTAGATCGATTCCATCTTTTCTTAGACGAAATAAAGGAAACTTTCAAAAGTTCGTTCTCCGTTGAAACGAACAAATAATTGTTGATTCGCAAAGCAATTAAAAACAACGAAGTCGAACGAACGTCTAACGAAGTCAATTGTACAGTTCGCCAAATGAAACGACGCGGAGTCTTCTTAAACCAACAAGAATGAAATTCGAATGAACGGAATGACGCTGGATGCATACAAATGCATCCCCTTTTGTCGAAATGCAACAGCAGTCGCGAATGGTCCCTTGACAAATGAAATTGATTACTTCTCTGTAACCCTCTGTATAAGAAATTTGATAAGCAATAAATTATAAACTAAATTCTGATATCGTCTTTCACCAGACACTGTAGTTAAGCGATTTTTAATAACGCGTGAAATTGAATGGAACCCTTAGGCTGTTCTTCATTATTCTCATCGAAATCCGTTATCTAACCCGTGGAGAAGCCGCGAATTAAACTTAATTCCAGGGTTCAGGATAAGTGGTCCGCGGAGGAATCAGCTATTTCGAATAATTAGGATCGAAACCACACCCCCCCTGCGAGACCGTTTAATCGATTCACCTCGATAGCATCGATTTTTTGGCACACGAAATTTGCTGGAGAAAAAATTCTATATAATTATGCGAGCAATAAGATTGCTTGTTAAACGCGTTTCGTGCACGAAACTCATTAATTTTATAGTTTCCCTTTGCTTAGCCGTGTAATCGTTTTTCTTTGTTGCAGGTAAGTCGCACGAGAATGGAGGATCGACGGTTTCAGATTGTCGAAGAAGTCAGTCCGCTTCGGATGGTATGTGTGTTAGTTTATATGGAGACGTATTCGAGACGTATCCCGATGTATTCGTTTCCATCTTGCGACATAAGCTCGAAACGTCGAGCCATCTGTCAGCTTTGCATGCTAAAGCTCCGCTCTGACACTTGCTGCACAAATACGACACTATTATTTTTCCCGTCTCTGGGATGCCTGTTAAAAACGACCCTCGACTTCGTAGACAGAAGCACGACGATAATATCCTCCGGCTTTTCGTCGACTTCTCTTATGGTCGTGAAAGTAGACATGCTTATGTATTAAATGTTAACAACCATTAGTGGCACACTTTTTTATTTGGGTTTTTATTAATTTTTTCAATTTTATTTGAGAACTGTTTCTGAGATTGAGAAAATTTCTTCTAAAACAAGGGATGTTTTTATATTTTTTAGAAACTTAGAATTTTTCATTTTTGTGTATTCTTTGTTAATTTCTTTAATTTCATATCCGGAAATCTGATTCCCCGAGAGACACCTGGGACAATGAAAATAATTCTGGTATATTTTACCTGTGTTATTATCCGAGTATTCAAATGCTTCGGGTAATTCCTCTAATTTTACATAATATTTCATAAAAAATGATTGAATAATATTCGATTAATCTTAAAAAACATCTGCGCAACTACATTTGAAAAACATCGAAGAAAAGTTCATCTACATAAACACGTACTTGAGGAGAGAACGGTGCTGTTAAACCGGATCCGTGCATCCCCCTGTGGTCAGCAGAAAATGCGGCCACATTTCCACGTGAGGCGCCCTAATCGTCCACCGTTCCGGAAGAGCACGGGACCATGATCGTTGACCGTGGTCTTGGTGGTCGTTGTCTTCTTCGAACGACCCAGCCTTACGATCAATTCGAAAGGCAGGGTCGTACATAGAACTAGCCGAAGCTTGCATCGTAGCAGGACCAATTTTTCCTCGTTCGGTGGAACGTTTAAGGGGTGAGAAACGCGGCCGGGTACGTACGGTTAAGGTTCGTGCTCGGTATTCCTAGCGTCGTGCAACGAACTACGTGTACAGCGATCGAGTTAGCGATGGTAGAGGGTCCGGAACCGTACGGACGGATGTATCCTGCCAGCTAGATAGCTTCGGTACGGCTGAGCTGGCTAGAAGATGAGACGAAGAGAATGGGTTTTCGAGGTTGCTGAACGAGACACCGGTATGTGTAACAATCCGTGATTGCTGTACCCACTGCTGGCTTCGACGTTCACCTTCGGGCTTCCTCTTTTCTTTCAGCCTGCTCGCGTTTTATTTCTTGTTCGGTCCGCTCGTTCTCTTCCCATCTCCGTCGCAACGAAACGAAGAGGAAGAAAATAGATGCACATCGTAGCCGGCCGCGGGATAGACGTTTGATGCAAAAGCGCAAAAACAAGGGAAGAGAACGCGAATCGAGCGGGCAAAGAACCGAAACGTGCTGGCGAATCAGCCAACCAGTCAACCAGGTTAGAACTAGTCGAGGTAGCCACTATCGAGTTCGAGTCTCATTCAACGAGTTGGCAAACTGTTCCCAACGCTGCTCGTTCTCCCCGTTTCTCTCTGACCTCCCTGGTATTACCACTTGAACGTACCGTGCGCGGAAAGGGGCGCGGTGAGACTCGAGGGAGAGGGAGAAAAAGGCTGGTTCGCAACGCGTTTTCTACCCTCTTGTAACTTTTATGATCCGCGTAAAGCAGCGATTTTCATCGGTTTTGCCTTCGCGCTCGTTGCTTTCTTCCTTCGCTTCTCATCCCTACAGTCGTCACTGCACGGCCTCTAATTAATTCGCGTTCACCCTTCGAACCTAGCCTCCACTCTCTCTCGTAATACCGAAACACAAGAGGATGCTTGGATATAATGAAGAAAGTAGAAGCCGAGTCTTTCGATTCATTCGAACGTTTCGGGGTTTTAAACCGCGCCTCGGTTCTTCTCCTATTTAGGAGCATCAGCTTTCAAGCTTCCTCAATTCTGTTTTGAATAATAATCTGAAAAATAATTATTATTTTCATATTTACTTTTTTTCCACGCGATAAAAGAAGAAAAATTATTCAACACCCATCGCGGCGCCCTTAGCACCCCGGTGTTTATCATTGCGTCCCGGGGCGAATCGAGTTCCCGCCACCGTCAGCGTCGCGTCGCGTCGCTGTCGTCTTTGCGGCTGTTACGCCTTTTTATCCGGTTGTACGGAAAAGGCGATGTCGATGCAACGTCGAGGATGCGGCGGTGCTGCTTTATTAGGTATGCATCGGGGTAGACACGGCGGAGAAAGGAGGAGGTGGCGGTGGATAGAACTGGTGATTCGCAGCCAGCGTTATTAACGTCCAAGCGCTAGAGGCGAGTCCCGATCACATCGCGTTCGTGATAAATCGCCCCGTTCGCTTACCCCGGCCGGCCTCCTCCGCCATTATGTCTTGTACGTTTCATTACAAATTTCCTTTAATGTCGTCGGGGGATGGAGGCACGCACACAGGCGTGCACCGTGTCGCCAGACCGGGGAATAAAGGGAGAAGAATTTATTGTGGGACGATTCGATGGTAGACAAGGCAAAAGTGAATGCTCTCTTACGCTCTGCTGGATATTAATTCTTGTTACTCATACGTAGAACTGGCCGGAAGTGCACCGCGAAAACGAACAGAGGAAGCAGCCCTTTCTCACCCGCGCCGCGCTCGATCGTATCGCGAAACCGGGACAACTTGGAAATATCATTCGAAGACTTGGAGGATCTTACGTTAAGGCTTTCTCAGAGGTCCGCGGTTTATTACCAACGCTTTTAACCCTTGAAGAGTTTGCGAATGATAAATGGTAGATCAAATGTGACTCTACAAAACTGTTTTCCATTCGTACTGTAGGATATTAATTCTTGTTGCTCGTACGAATTGACATGTAAATGTGCCACGTCCGCAGAAACGACAAACAAACAACTGGAACGGTCAGTTCATCTTTCCTCGCTCCCCTACATCGCATTGTGGAAAGGTTTCTCAAACGTATATCTTGAAGACAACACAAGACGAGTCCCTTTGAACTGCTATATTAAAGATGATGTTTCTCATGAATTCTTACTGGATGGTACGCTTTGATTTATTTCTTCGTCGAGTCTGTGTTCTACCAGGGATTTCATAAATCCTGGTCCCAACTCGAAAATTTCATTTCTGACTTTCAGCGGCTGTTCTACGATAGATCGAAAGTAGAATTCAAATTTCACCTGTACCGATGTAAACATACCCGTTCGTCTTTGTTTCAATTCCCTGGACGCAGTATTTTTCCCCCTCTGTCAGCTGACATATGTTCGATTCCACCTTTTCGAAGCAACCTCTTGCCTGGATTTGTGTTTCGTCGATCGGCCCGCGAGATTCAGCGGCGCGTCTTCGATTGCCGGTAAACGAACACGGCGGGAGAAAGTAAGAGTAGTCAGTAGGACGAAAAGGATTCCCTGTATCGTACCAACGACGTATTTACGACGTAGCATTCTTCTCGTTTCCCTTCTTCGTGGTTAGCCACCGTCCGAACGGTATCGTCTTCCACGTCCAGTCGATGCGATGTTCCTGTGTTGGTAGTTTGGTAGCCCGCTTCGAATGCCCTGCTCCCCGGAGTCCAGAGACAGCAGGGTCGTCATTCTATCCATACCACGACATTGCGTACACAATTATCGAAATGGTAGCAGGTATCACAGAGGCGAGGTTGGAATGTAGGCTATCGACCATACCCAGTCAAGAGACCGACCTACGGTAAGAGAGGGGGCCAGAGGAACAGAGTAGACAAGGAGCTTCTTGCATCGCGCCAGAGTGGAGAGGCTGGCTAGGTAGATTCACCCGTTTACGTACACCCCTTGGGCTTGTCATGCGGCAGCTATCGGCCGACTGCGATCGAGAGACCGGCTGTATCCCCCAGTGCCACCTTGTTCTCAGCGGCTATGTCGGATCCGACAGGCGTGTGCTCATCGCTTACCACGATGGCTTCTCTCTGTTTCCTTCCTTGTCTACCTATCCATCCATTTACCTAGCCGATCCTCTCCCCTATCCCTCCCTCTTCATCCCGTTGTTACTTGCTTCACCGTCGTACCAGGCACAGTCGCGGCTACTACCAACACTGGGATGGGTTATTTCGGACCACGTGGGTGGTTGTCTAACGAGATATACGAGGAACACGTTCTGAAAGTGGGACAGCTAACTGGAGGACTGGCAAACTGTACTTAGATCTCAGTGCTCTGTCGCGAGTACGCTAGGATGATCAAGGTAATGGCACTGTTATGATCGTACCACAAATTACCACTTGCCTCGACGTAACCGAGACCTGGTTAGAGGCAATGTACACTGGCGGTTCTGCTGGCCTTACTTAGAAGAAACACTCGAAAATTACTAGGCATTATGCTTAGTTTACATAGAACGAATAGGTATTTGGTTTGGTAGTCATTTCAGGGGATGTTGATTCGTTTGGTATGTAATTGGTGGAGTAGATGATAGACTTCGGTTAGATACTCTTAGGCATATTTAAGTCTCCTCCCACTGCATTGCATTTTCCTCTAGGGAATTTACCATGCCCTGTTCTGTATATAAAATATAGCTAGGTTCATTTAAAATAGATTTGATTTGTTTAGTAATTGATAAAATAGATGATGTATTCCTAGGCATATTGAAGTAAATCCCCTTTTCCCCTAGAGAATCCTACCATGCTCGGCACTGTACTTAACACACAGCTAGTTTCTAGACCCACCGATTGGTCATCCTTTTTATCCACAATCCGTTCACTGGCAGTCTTTATTGCCTTCCCATTATCGATCCTCAGGCTGAATTGGTACCGGGTGTATTTATCGAGATTCGTGCAAAATGGTAAACCAACGGAGCCTGATTGCGCGTGTACGATTCGGTGCGACATGTCGTGTAGTAGGTAGCCTACAATGGCGTCGAGTAACGGTGTCGTTGTCGAGGGTGTAAGCTATCCGGGTCTCTCTTTCACCAGCGGTTCCCTCTCGCTCCGAATATTCGTTTGCCCGTGTATTTCCTGCGAGCTAATTGCAACGCGAGCAGGAGCCGTTACTCGCCGGCTGGATTATGCGAACGACCAGTGCCGTTAATTTCGTGCGTGGCCTTAAGTACCTATCCTAAGGATGAGATCGCCCTTCGGTGAAACGTATCGGTATCCTTTTAATGAAGCATTCGGTTTCATGAAACTCGAATAACCGTTTCCGGCCTTTGTACCGCAATGCCGTGATTTCGTGAGCCATTTCACGTGTAGCCATTTCACGATATGCCATCCCCACTCTGAAATTCGTGGAAAAAGCAAACCCTCGACCTGCATCTCTGACCCCTCTCGGATGATTTATTAACACGGATGACTGATGATGAATTGTGATGGGTCCTGACCTTTATCCATTACCTATCATGAGTTATTTTTTTACATCTGACAAATAGGAATTGCCCATTTTTATGGCGACAAATGTTCGGACGATCTTCATCCCTCTTTTGTTAACTGCCTAGCGAAGATGACCCTACAACCTAATACCAGGTCCCTTGCTATAAAACCTGCTCTCGATCGAGGGCTAGTAAAGTTAATCCCAGCTTCAATTACGCACCACAGATATGCCGTTTGAACCGGTCGATATCAGTCACGCGAGAATTCCAACCCCGGTGTGCGAACACGCTCGGTTCAGCTTGAAAATCAGGCTGGCCATCGAGGTAGCCTTTCTAAATGGCCAAGTGCACGCCGTTCAACGCAGCACACGTTCGACAACGAATAGAATCGATTATATCCGGAGGTGGATCCTGGCTGTCTGTCTGTGTGTCTGTGTGTGTATGTACGCGCGAATAAATCGCAGAAATCAGTCACGTACTTCCATCGGCCTTCGGAATCACCGCTAAGCCCTTGATCGCAATTTAACCCCAGGGGCCGAGTAATACCGGATCGCAACGTCCGGGCGATTATCCAACCTCGCGAGAACTGTCTGCTTGTCCTCCGTTCAGCTTGCTCTTTCAGCTCGATCAACGTTCAGCTTCGTTTACATGCTCGCAGGGTGTCGATCGAGGGTAGAAAAAAAACGTTCGGCTAACGCGAGGGCGTTTTAAAATTGATCTACCTGGTGGCGTTTTGTTGCCTGTCAGGCTTGAAGAACGGCGCAACATTGATTCTTCGCTTGAAATAGTAGAGTTACTATCTTATCCTCGACGCGTTGATTACAGGTCGGAGAAGAATGATACCTATCGTTCCTTAAATCAATCAGAAAACTTTTGTCGAAAAAATTGTTCGTTGTCAAAAGTTTCTAAATTAAAAAAAAAAAAAAAACAAAACTGAAGTAATCATGACGTTCGTCTTAACGAGCCTGTTGGAAACGACATACGCGATACGTGCAATAGCCTCGGGAAGCTTTCCTTGGAGAGCACAAAAGCAGAACACAAACCCTTTCAGTTTTCCTGCCGCGTTGTACGCGTAACTTTTACAGCAGCCCAGCTGTGTAGCCCGTCAGTAAGAAAGATACGCCTGCGGTTTCGCCGTAATAGCCATCGAACGAAACAGAGAATTGTGTGTCTGGCGGCGATGGATCGAAGAGGAAGCTAAGATAGATCGCGAGGCAAAAGAGGAGGCTAGAGACGGGCAACAGTGAAAGGAAACGAGAATAGAACTTCTTCGGGTTACTCAGAGATAATATCATGATTAATGGAATGTGCTTGATGTATAAAGCAGAGAAACTCCTGAAATTGTTCTTCCTTTCGGGATTTTCACTCGAAACTTGCTGCCTTAATGTTTCAGCTAAGAGAATTTTATTAATGAACATCGATTGTCGTCGTTCAACGTTAAGTAAATTAACCCTCGAACGGCGCGGACCACGGAGAGAGCTCCAATATATTTTGCATACTTAGCTCACGATTGAATCAACATTTTTTAATTCTTTCTAAGGATTCAAAACAATTTTCAATCTACAAAACCGGGCTTTCTTCGAAGGAATGCAATTGTCAGGGCATTCGCTATACTTAACGATTAATAACCGTGGAGCGGTCGGTTTGCTTGTCGTGTGATATTGTTCGCGCGGTGGATTTTCGCGCGGAGCAAGCGTCGATCGACACAATTCCGACATAAATCGTTATGTACACCTGGGCTGTGGCAGCCCTCGCATACACGCTGCAACTTATCGGAAGAAATTGAACAACTTTACCGGATGATCGATCGTTTTGTGCTCGTCGGCGTTAAAACTTTCTCTCGAAACGAGTAGGTGCGCCACCCACGCGATAGGTGGTCTTCCTTATCTATTTTATACCCTTGTTCCATCTCTATTCAGCACCGACCATTCGGTTAATCAATTTTCCTCGGCTTGTTATTCATACGGCGTGTCCCGTCGTTAATAACGAAGCTTTAATTTACAGATCAATAACTAGGTCCATCTGGACGCGTCGAACCGATCGAGGTTTTTAATTAATTCCAGGTTCCATTACATCTCGCCTTGCTTTATCATTCTTTGGCCACAGAATGTCCATCCGTTTCGCGCACGTCCCACGGTCTGGTTATTATATCCGTTCGAGTAATTGCTGTGTTTCTGATTCATCGAGCTCCCTCTTTCAATATACGCCTTTTATTCTTCATCCCCGTCGCGGACCAGGCTACCTGGAGGCCGCAATTAAAACGTCAGTTCCGCCGATCAAATTGCTACGCGTGCACGCGTCTCCCCGGGTTATCCTTAACTCATTAAATTCACGGACAGGTTAAGTACTTTGTGATAATCCGTCCCCTTTTCGTTTTTCTTCGCCAGTTACATCGCCGCCGCTCGGTTATTACCGTGTCAGTTTACTGGGAATCCTTTTTATTTCGATTTTTCGAAGACGCCTGGCTCGTTTCTACGATTTTTCAGCAGGGGGGAGAAAAATGTTGGGACACCTGCCGTGTAACAAATCTTCCTCGAGATCGAGCGTATTACAAGCCCGGCAATGGGTACGTGCAATATTTTAAAGGCTTTTTTTTTAATTACTCTGAAGGATGGATTTATTAACCTTTGACTAAAATTAGGCATTCAAGTTTTAAGATGAAAGACCAGTGAGCAGAATTTCTATGCATTTTATTAAAGCAATAAGATCCTGCTGACTCTTGAAATGGATTCGTGTCAACATTATAATTTGATTTAGTAATACTTTGGTTAATAGAATATCAAATGATGCTTGCATGTCACGAGATAATTAGTATTTGTCAATCAGTGTGTTGATTATAAGAAATACGTGTAATACTTTCACATAGTAAATAGTTAATCAGTAATAAAGTTACTATTGAATCTTATATTTGTGATAATTACTATTAGAATAATAATTTTTAAAGGAACAGTGCAAAATTTAGAAAATGAAAATAATAGTAACCATCTTCAAAATTACAAAGAAAATGTATCTAATATCAAATGCCTATCTTATAGTGCTTTCGACAAATATAGTGTGGCAGTCAAAGTGTTGAAGAATAAGAAGATAGTACACGAGCATATCTACGAAGCAGGCAGAGAAAATGGTAGACCACGAGTATCTAACCCAGCTGGCCAGCGATAATTGCTCATTGCACGCCACGTAGAAATGCCGTTTCCTCATCTTTCTTCGACTCTCTATCCACACACGAGCCACCGATCAAACATTCTTTTTCATCCATCGACTTCCCTACTGCTGTTAGATCGACCTCGACCCTTTCATTTTGCGCGGCCCTAGACGGAATAGTTCGATTCGAATTGCTGATACACCGAGACCGGATGCTCTCGTTTTAAGAAAGGAATTGCCTTTCGGATCGGTCGGCCGAGTTCACGACTTTGTTTTCAATCGACAGCTATCTGCGGCGTCCGGTCACGCAGCTATACCAGCGATCACGAAAGAAAAAGTGACGTGGATGAGGAAGCAGCCCGTGAAACTGTCTGATCACTTGTTACCATTATCTACTTGCTCATCCGCTGCTATGTAACATGGTAAAACTTAGTGCAATTTTATGACATAAAATTGGGCCATTTTTTTCTATAAAATAAAAATTTTCTTTCTTTCAAAACATACGAGTTTTCCATATTTAATAACAAATGATTTATTTTTTAAATATGCATCTAGAAATAGTGAACAACGGCAACAATGGAAACAATAAAATAAATTTATTATTCAATTAGGGTGACAACGTTTTGTTTGTGTTTGATCCTATTAAAAAATAATCCATTGATTCTGATTGGTAATTGCAATGTTGAACATTTGCAAGAGCGCGATACTCCGATTAATTCCCGGGCACAAAGAGACGGTAATCTCAGTAATTTGTCGATAATGCTATTTGCGTACAAAGCTTATCGTGGCATGTATAATTCCGTTTGTTTGAAAGCTACTTCGGCTCGCGGACTCGTCAAGTACACTTTGTAGGACACTTCAACGATTATCAGCCGTAATTTCAGCTCCCAATCGCAGCCTGTCACTATCACGGTATCATGCTGAACGATTAACGTTTTAATTCCCTCGGTTTTATGTTCAACTGAGTTACTTCACCGCTAATGGCAACCCTTTATATTTCGCCGACCGTAATATTTTAATGGATCAAGATCAAATCGTAAGAACATAAATCTGGATATATTTTAAATGATAAAGTGTTTATAATATTTTTCATAAATTATTTCAAAACTTTCTAAAGAATCTTCCTTGACCCCTTTATTAAAGGCTTAATTACAATACTGACTCGCCTATTCGTTTGTCATTAACAAAGATAAATTAGTCTGTGATCCATCAATGGACCCTGTGTATTTCCAAGGGAGGCTCTTTCATTCGCGGTGCACTTCCCTTTCATACTTTTTTAATCCTCCCCGCTTGCCGGGCAAAGCTCTTTTCTTTCTCCCCCTTTTCGCCACATATCCACACACAAGATTTCTCAAGGGAGCCCCTTGACTCCGGGATTGTTGGCGCCTCCGAGTAGTTTCACCCGGTTCCGCTCTAGCAAAAGAGGTATCTCGCCCAAGTTGGCAGTCGTTCAAACGTTAGAACACGAGGGATCGGCTACCGAACCCGGTTGGCCGTTTTCCCTCGAACAATGAATTTCGCACTTATAATTGGAGCTGTTACGAGGGGCGCCGTTCTTAATGGTAAGTGCACGGGAAGCGTACGCGAGAAGAGTGACCCATTTTAGTTGGGCGAGCAGGAAATTGTAGTCCAACTAAAGCACGATAACTGTCATCGGGGACGTGCTGTTACTGCTTAATGTGTCGAACCCGTATTTCGCCAAACAATCAACCGAACCAGAAGACTATTAACCTCTAGTGAAACTTATTTTCCACCTACAATGATGGAAAATAATTTTGACTACATTTAATCTTATATTATTTTAATAATGCAGATATATATGTAAAAATTTTCTAGTAGAAAGTTACTGAAAAAATATTATTTTATTAAAGAATTGAATTCCATCTCTCATAAATAAATAAACAGCTGCAGTCTGATATTTATAATGAATAATAAAACAGGATGTTTCTATTTTTCAACAAGTAGTAGTTTTCACGAAATGTTCAATTTACCGAAACATAAGAATACGACATTTGCAATAAATAATTCAATGGTAAGTTACCACCACCCTCTACCGACCAACATCAGTGAGAATCGCATTCTGAGAACAAAAAATTTCCACGAATATTTCTATGCTCCTGACGTGCAGCGAAGTTTTTCCTCTATCGAGCATTCGCTTCCTTTCCAGCAAATTTTACCGGAACCCCTGTACCTCGCGTCCATCGCTGCTCCAGCGATGTAGCGTGAATTTCCAAGCGTTCACGAGCTGCACACCGGAAACGCCGTTCCGACCGTCTCGCATAATTCGCTGGCGTCCTTCTTCCTGAATATGCCATAACCGAATACATAGAACGAATCGTTGTTCTTCTTTTTTTTTTTCTTTCGCATAAAACGAAACGGTTCCTGTAGCTCTCTTCTTGTGAAAGGTCAATTCGTGTCACCCTGATGAAGGTCTCACTGACGTTAACGTTCCGGAATAAAAGCGCCGGTTACTTCAATTCATTCACTCGGCAGCGTACTCGACACTGCTTTGTTTTAAAAGAGGAATTTCCTCGGTGGAACACTTTTATGCAATTATGCGCATTTTAGGTGAAAATCCGAGGGTTTGCTCGCTCGAGAAATTCGGGGAGCCTTGGTAATGTGTAATGTCAACTCGAGGGATAGTCTTTGAAATAAGTATTAAATTAAATACTCGACATAGATAACATTCAGATGTACCCCGCCTCTATCATTTTTCCTAGAATAAATTGACGTTTTTAATGTACAACGTCGTAAAACTCAAAAAATGTAACAGCGATAGTGTCT